AATTTTTTTTCAGTAAAATGGTAAACTTTTTAGACTTTAAAAAGCCAAAGACAATAAAAATACCTTTTTATAATATCCAGTATTGACAATGCTGTGGAGGACTAACATGTGGGAAAGCAGATAATATAAACTCTGATGACGTTCCTGAAGGGCTAGTGAACAATGTTTCCATTTAAAATGCAAACTCCTTTTGATTCAGCAATCTTACTGCTGGAAATTTACCATATGTGTATACTCTAATTAGTAGATTAAAATAAATATACAAGGATGTTCATTTTAGTATTGCTTGTAATAGCAAAAACCTAGAGAAGTCCAAATTGCCCATCAGCTCTCAGCACAGAGCTGGTAAAATTAAACACCGTACATCCATAAAATAGAATAATATGCAGCTGCTAAAATGTAATAAGATGGGTCTCTATGTGCTGAAGAGACAAAACCTCCAAGACATATTAAGGAATAAAAGCAAGGTATGTGTGTATATAAACACATCTAAATATTCATTTCTGAAATTCTGGAAGGGTATATAAGAAATTTAAAAGTGATTACCTCTGAGAAACAGGACTGAGAGTACACAGAATGTGACTTTACCTTTTTATTTTAAACTCTTCTGTACTGTTTGAATTACTCTTGCTATGTGTATTTGTTTATTAATAAGAATAACTATATGCAGTATTTTCTGCATGGTCTTGGAAGCATCTGCTTGCTTTTTTTGCAGGAGTGGCAAAGTGAGCATTCTTTCCTAGCCTTCCTAAGGCAAACCACAAAACCTATTAAGTGGTTGAGGAGCCACCCCCTCCCCAACCAGACCAGGTGCCTTCACAGGTTACTAAGGCCTCTGCCCTCACTCACTCCTTCCTCCCTTGTGTGAACCTGGTGCACAAGTGAAGAGAACTTTTCATTTCTGTTCTTCTAGTTATAGATCTATATAGTCCATCTCTGAAAATCTAACTCAAAAGAGGTTGAGTAGAGTTATTCTACTGTAAGACATACCAAAGAAAAATCAGTGTTTTCCCTCATGCTATTTATTATATAATTATATTATTACCAAAACAAAAACAGATAAATAAAAATGTTTTCCAGTTCAAAGTATAGTGCCTGCCATTCTTCCAAGTACCATGATAACCAGAAAGATGAGAAAACATTCCAAGGAGCTTTCTTCCCAATCTATTATCTTGTATTTGCTGATCTCAAAACACTTTCAGCTTTTGCAACTGAAATTGCTTCTACAATAAAAATAATAGGACATTAAAGTTGAAAAGATGAAGTGAAATATATGTTGAAATTTTCTCATGTTGAGAATCTTAAAGAGTATTTGAATTTTATTTTGTACTTATTCCATCAGATAAATACCTCCAATCCCACTGCAGGGGTAGGGGCAAAAAGAAAAGACACGAGACATCATGCTTCTGTTTTTCTATAATTTGACTTTGATACTTGATGTGCAGAGGCTACTTATTTAGTATCAAGTGACCTTTCCAAATTGCAGAAAAACAATTCCTATAGTATTTCTCCTTTGACAGATCATGATACATAAGAATTTATTAAAGATTATTTATATATTTATTTATTCTTTTTTTTTTTTTTACTTTACTGAAGAATATAGAAATCAAACCTAAATGTCTATTTGAAAAAGTCTAACATCTACTTAGCTGAAAATTTGCTCTCACTACATCTGATTTTATATAAACATTCTAACAACAACAAAAAAAGTGATTTCATTTTTGGTTGTGAGGTATAAAAGTAATTAGTGAAATGCACAAACTATAGTCTGGTTTACTGAGCTGTCTGTGGTACTGAAAAATAACACCAAAGCTGAAATTTACTGAGCTGGGTTCTTACAGAGCTTCCCCATCACATGGTTTTAATTTAAGTACTACCACCCATGACTCACCTGAACCATCTTATTTTGCCAGAGTATGTATAAACATTTTATTAAAGGTCACACTGACTTGCTTCCCAAGGTCCTCTGTGAAAATGTCAGGGCCTCCCCAAGCTTTGTTAAGCTTCTTCCCAGCAGACAGAGAGCCAGAACGTCGGCTATTACACTTACTTTTCCTGAATGCGATGAGAAATCATATCATGTATCAGAAACTTACAGTAGCTAGCTCTTACTATCAGATAACCATACTGAAATGCTAAAAATAAGAATTGTCATTTCAGATTACATGCTACATCCATGAACATGCTCCAAATGGTAGCATAACCTCTGTATTTAGTTTCTTAACTCAAAGCTAATCAAAATATTTGGAATTTTTTATAGTAAACTGAGAAGTATCCATTAGTTTAACACTTTTTATTCAAGAAATACACTTACAGAAGTGACACCAAAGAGCAAAAAAAAGAGAGGAGGCACAATTCATTATTTTCTCATGTATATGTAAGCCTGTGCACTTGGTTTCACTGAGTTTCACAGTGACTATTCCTGAACAAATTAGAACATTCCTACTTTTTCCTAGTTCTTGACTTCCTGCTTAGGATCTTCACATTAATTTGCTCTTTTCTTTCTTTCTTTTTTTTTAAAGCATCTCAGATGAGAATTTGGAGAATCAGTTTGAGGGAGAAATTCCTCTAGCCAAAACACCGAGTGTGAAAGCTGCATCCAAAATAACTAAATGATATTACCTACACATCTATTTTGCTATTATCTTAAGTGTGGTGGTTTAACAGAAACCATATATCATATAAAATAAACCCAGTTTTAAAAATTTAACATTCTGTGATGTTTGTGTTCCCCAACAGTAAAGAAGTTCACTGTGCTTATTTGCTGAAGAGGGTGAATTCACATCCGCATTTTTCTCATGCATGCGATACATACCCTAATCAACATGTATATGCATTTGCAAAACAGAAAGAGTCCTCAAAATGAACCAATTAGTGAAATACTTTCAAGCATGAAATAATCTATGAAAATATGATTTCCTGTATTTTTATTAGTTTCTTTAAGTTTCAAGAGTTCTATTATAGTATCAATTTTTTTAAGACCCATAATTAACATTTGGTGGCTCCTTAGACTCTTATGTGTTACTTCAAAAATTCTCCCTATAATTATTAAAAAGTCAGTGTTTACAAAAAAAAGTCCTCCCTCATGAATGCTTGTTTAGTTGTGTGTTTTTCAGGCAATATTATGAAAGCTGATGTTTAATAAAAAAGCAGCAAGGTCTCTCACTCCACAGTGGATTAAGTAAAACCACTCTGGCCTCCAAGGAAACATTTTTTAAAAAAATACCTAAGAATGTTTTAGAATAATCTTTTATGTTTAACCTTACTCATATAGCAAACTTTTAGAATGTAGAGGGCATACACAAACAAATGTACATTTTTCAGGGCTTTGGGAAAGTAAAGCAGGGAGCGTTTTGGACTGGAAGCCTGGAGGACAGGGCCAGCGGTCCCCTTGCACTGTCTAGCTGTGTGATCTGGCAAGATACTCACCTCTTCTGAATTCAGGCTCCTCATTTGCAAACCGAATCAAAGGACCATCAGATCTGTTTTGTTCCTTCCAGCTATAATTGTCTACTCTTCAAGTCAAAATGAAAATATAAACTCATAATGTTTAAGTTACACTATTATATCACTTTAAAATGTATGAAAGAATCTCAAAAGCCCACCATCACTAGTACTGAATTAAAGATGAATCTATGTAAATTATTAAGTTTTTTTAAAAAATTTCAAATGTGTGTTTGCCTGGTTTTACCAGTATAGTTTTATTACTTTTCTTTTTTTTTCCCACTCCCTGCCTGTACCCTCCATTCTACTTATCTTTGAATACTCTTACTCTAATTCTCATTCTCTAACCTCATCTCTTCAAAAACACCTTTCTCAAAGTTTTTGCAAATATGAAAAACAAGAGGAAGTAACTTCTCCCCCCTCACTTGGGGTCATCCACATCTTTATTTTGTTTGGACAATCATTAAAACTTGTTTCTTCATATTTAGTGTGTTTACTAGTTACTAATTTAAAGTTTAGTTAACTTAATACTATATTACTTACATGGCAAGTCCTATGCAACAGTTTTAATTCAAAGGCAGCCTAAATTTGAGGCCATCTAAAGGAAAGCAGCCTAAATTTGAGGGTTTCATGCCCCACCAAATGTCTAACAACTGCTCAAAAAAAAAAAAATCGAAAAGTACATATTAGTGCAAATTCTAAGCTGAAAAATCCCAATTTCCCTAATCTTGGGAAACTCCAGTTATTTTCACTCACAGATCTTAATATTCCTTTGACTGTAGGCTATAGCAAAGTAAACAACTGACAAGATGACCTATAAATTTTATAAAGAGTATTCTGACATGGTCAATAACCGCCAAATCTAACAATAGAGCTCCTGGCTGCATTTAAACAAAACAAACATTTTGCCAACAAGACAGCACACAAGAGCAGTGGCCTTAACTCTGAAATGACATTTAAAAAATAACTTAATGATTGCAGCTAAGAATCTATTAAACTACTAGATACACAAAATTTGTATTCTAAACTTATAACAGCTTTTTTTTTTTTTTAACGTTGAGGGATACAGCGGTTAAGAGTTTTTCTCACATTTGTATAAATTAACTAGCAACATTATGAACCTATTTTTTCTCTATACTACATTATAGAAGATATAGAAGACACAATCTCTATATCTATAATGACGCATGCACTAGAAAGAGGTGTCTCAAGCAAGAACACACGTTTATCTTACAGATTAAGGATAGTGCATAACTGGCCTTAAAAAAAAAAGTTCTGATTGATCTAAAGAAGAGGATCTACCTAAAGAATAGAGAGGAAACTCTTAAGTGTTTAACAAACACACCTCAGAAACTATTGCATGTTTACACGGCTACAGTGCCTTGCAATGTTTTCAACTTCTTTAAAGAACAGGTCAGGTGTTAACATAAGAATACAGCCGTGTGTATTCTGTAACCTCAAGCAGGGACATGACAGTTTGGAAAAAGCCTCTGCTGCCTTGTTCCAGGCGGTCTGCACAGCTTTGGATCATTCATAAACAGGAGAATCTAAGTTACCTGTATTTCCCTGGCGTGGTACACGATGATCAGACCGAGCAGGATGATCGTGGAGAGACTGATAAGGCATTTCAGAGCTAAGGAATACAGCGACGCCTGCAACACAGACAGAAGCACTTTAAAGAAAGAAGCACTTTTAACAACATTCCAGGCCCCAGGGGTCAGTCAGTCTTCCCACAAGTGGACCTGAACTTGGATACTGGAAGAGCATACTGGTGATGGCGAGGGAACCTGTCTTGGCTCTGTCACATCACAGCCTCAAAACGAAGTGAGAGGAGAGCAGAGCTGGGAAGACTCGGGGCTCGGCTGCCAAGCCCGTGCCATCGCTGACCAAAGCGCAGCTCCTGGCTCAGGAAACCCTAGAGGGAATTACTCCTGAGTTTAAGCGCTGCGGTTTGAAAGGTGCCTCCCAAACACGAGCACCAGGAGAGGAACACAGCATGCTTTCCCCACCGGCTCCTGGAACCACTTATTTAATGTGCCAGAACGCGCTGGGCACTCTTGCTGCCTCGAGAACTTTGGCTGCACACAAAAAGGGTTCCTCTCTGAGTTGCCAAGTCGACCAGGGATGTTCGTCCTGGTCGCGGCCGCTGTCCTGGCGGGCACCCCTCATCGTCCCGGGAAGGCTACGGACCCACAGGCAAAGGGTTCTCGCCAGTGCCCGTCCCAACCACACGGCTCCTGGCTCCAGTAGGATAGAAAGAGGTTCGAGCCCGTACCTTGTCGTAGGCGCCCCACGACAGCTCGGTCTCGATGACCATGACCACGATGCCGAACATGCCGAAGATGAGCGCGTAGTCGCTGAGTCGCTTGCGCTTCTCGAACAGGGCGCGCCGGTGGCCCAGCTTGTAGCCGATGTTCTGGTTCTTCTTTTTGCTGGACTTGGTGCCACTGCTGCTGCCGTGCCCGCTGCCGCTGCCGCCGCCGCCGCCTCCAGTGCTGCCTCCTCCGCTGGCTCCGTAGAGCGCCAGGTTGTTGGAGTTGTTGTGCTCCGGCTTAGACACCACGATCTCGGGGGCTGAGGATGAGGCGGCGGCGGCGGCAACGGCTGCAGACGGGGAGGACGCGCCACCACCTCCGCCGACCGACGCCGGGGGCTGTAGGGGCTGCGCCTCGGAGTCCATCTCGTGCAGGTTCCGGCGGGACGCGCTCAAGTTGCTGAGCGGCCGCATGACGCCCCCGTTGTACCTGCAGCTGCTCATGGCTATTTCGGTGAAGGGGTTGCTCTCGCGGCGCGCCTGGGGCTGGTGGTGCTGGTGGTGCGCCGGGTGCGGGTGGTGGTGGTGGTGCGAGAGCGGGGGCCCGGAGCCCAGGCTGCCGAGGCTGCCCGTGGGGCTGGCGGCGGGCTGCTGGCTGTGGCACTGGTGGTACTGGGAGGCGGACGCGGGCTGCTGCGCGGGCTGCTGCCGGAGCGCACTGGCATGGCTGGACGGCGTCAGCTCGCTCACATTGAGCTGGCTGCCCCGGCGCGACGAGCAGCAGCAGCAGCACGAAGAGCCCGACAGCGGCGAGGAGGTGCGGGTCCGGAAGGCGCCGCCGGGCGAGGAGGTGCGGAGCAGCAGGGACAGGTTATCCCCCGCCCCCGCCCCCGCCGCCGGGGCACCGGAGGAGGCGCAGCTGTTGCACCGGAGGCATGGGCTGCTACCGCCGCTGCCCGGCTGCTGGTGCGCGAGGTGCGGGTGGTGGTGAGGGTGCGGGAGGGGCGCGAAGGGCGGGCACGGCTTGTCCTGGCTTTGTTGCTGCTGCTGGCAATGCAGGTGTGAAGAGCGCGGCGGCGGCGGCGGCTGCTCTGGGAAGAAGCCGCGTTGGAACTGCAATGGGGTTTCCATGTCAGGGCTGTTAAAGCTGCAGGGAGACCAGGCGGTGGTGCACCCTGCGCAATGCGTTATGGTCGGGAGCGGGGACTCCTGCTGCTGGTGCGAGGAAGGGCCCATGCCGGCTCCGGTAGAATCCAGGCGGCGAGTCCGATTGGTTGGGCGCACCAAAACAATGGGCATGACATCACCTGCGGGGACCGAGACTGAGTTTGCGGCGCGCGCGGCTTAGGGGAGCATGGGTGAGAGAGAGATGGGGAGGGGAATCTGCAGGATGGGAACCCCGGGGGGCGCAGGCCAGGGAGAGGACGCTCGAGGGCGAGTATTCGACCTGCTGATTAGGAGCGCCTCTGAGCACTGCCGGGGATGGAGGGTCCCCACGCAGTGCAGCCAGGCTGCAGGGGAAGGAGAAAAGAAAGGGGCTCCCCTCCCTCCCGTGCAGCTGCCCCCCTGACTAGTGCTGGACGCGCTGCCCGAATCATCTGCGCCGGGCATTGCAGCACGGCGGGCCACCCGGACCATGGGGCAGGCGCAGGGACGGTGCAGAAACCGCACCACCCCTCCGCCCGCACGCCTCGTAGGGAAGCAAACCAGCAGCTCCCTCGTCCCACGTCCGCCTCTCCCTGATCGTCCCGCCAAGAGTGGGCTGCCGGCTGCCCGCCAAGTAACTGCGGGGGCCCGGACTTTGAGGAGAAAAAGTTTGGCGACTGGCTACGCCAGTGCAGCAGCGTCTGGGAAGAACCCGGAGCCCTGAGCCCGGGCTTGGCCGCTACGGGGTCAGCGCTGGCCCCGCGCCCTGATCTTTCCTTGCCGCCCTTGATTGGATGAAAATGTTTGATTCATCCTTACAAATTAAACACTTCAAAGAAGTGTTATGGTAAATTGATAAATATTTTCATTGGCCGATTATAAATTTAGTTGAAAGATTACATACCCCCCAATGTCATAATAGACGTTACCAGCATTAAGTTAGATATAAGGTTCTAGAGTTACTAAAATGTCATAAGAAAAAAAATAATGGCTGCATCCCCCTTGTGTCAAACTGACTTTCTCAAATACAAAAATCAAGCCTTCAAACAGAAATTCTAGAAACAAAACAATAAAGAAAAAATATTGTATCTTTTGCCAGGTTTATCTCCAGATCTTAGTATGGGATTAGTTGCAGTGCTATTGATCATGCAGAAACAAAGACGCTTACTGAGATTTATGGCAATGCTTCGTGGAGTTCTCACTTCTTTCAAAGGGGGTGCAGGGGAAAATGGAATGCCCAAGGTACAGAAGAAACTGGGAATTTGGTCCACAGCATGAGGGACTGTCAGAACAACAAAACTCAAATTAACAGTACTTCAGCCTAGAGGGTGGGGGCGGGGCCGGAGGAGGGGATCCCCGCCGTCCGCGGGAGGAGCCCGCGCGGGCTTCCCGGGTCCCCCTGGCGGGGGCGAAGGGCTTTCCCCGCTCCCGCCGGCTCACATTTGCGCCTTCTGCGGAACATGAGGGGCTGGCGCCCCCGGCCGCCGGGTCCCAGGCTCTGGCGCTCAGGCCCTCCTGCAGCCGCGTGTGCAGGTCCGTGGGCTTCTCTGGCGGTGGAGAGGCGGCTCTTTCGAGGATCAGGGGGCTGCTCAGCCACGGCCGGCCGCTAGCTCCTCTTGCGTTCCTCTTCCTCCCCCTCACCTGCAGCACAGACACAAAGCAAAGGCGGGTTACAAATGCGCAGACACCAAGCCTCTTTGCCAATTCCTGACTGCGGTGGCGAGTGGGAGAGGGGCCTGGCGCTGGCTGATTCACACCGGTAGTCACAGCGTTAACTGGGACGTTATTAGTGATGATAACTCGAGCTGAATAATCGCTGCCCGGGAACAGTACTGAAATTCTGCTGGAGTTGGGTATAATCATAATTTATTTCTTTACTCCAATAAACCAATAAAAATTGTATTTTGTGTGTCACAAATTCTTCGTGATGTGTTCTACTAGGCGATATACCAACACAAAGCGATAGGGGATCCTTTGGAGGTCCTTTGTTACCGCTCCATCTTTACATTTGTATTTCTTTGTGAAAAGAAATTATCTTCTCCCCCAAAAGAAGAAGAAACTGGCCAGTTGGATATTTGTTTCCATTTTAAATTTGATTTTAAAGCATGATTTTTTATAATAGAGATGATTTTAATGGATTAGATAGACCAGGAACTTAGAGTGAAAGCGGATAACCCTCCATTAGGTAATTGGAATTCTCAGCTGGATCCAATTTCTTGATATTCTACTCGGCAGCTGCCCTAAAGTTGCTTACCTGGCTGGTATCTGCTTGTAAGGATGTGTGTGTGTGTGTTTTCAATGCAATGGAGTGAATAATTCATTTTAGGATATTCTTTGGACACGTGTTAAACAATTTTAATTTTTTGTACATGCAAGTGAACAGATCCAGCAGAAAAAAAGGAGGAAGGATGCTTTTAGTGTTATAGTCCTCGAATTGAGACAATGAATACTGTCAGGACTTGCATTTCTCAATGGTCTTGGTTAATAAGAGAATTTTACTGGCTAACAATTGGAGACAGCATTTTATTTTTATAATCTATCATGATTTTTGTGTATCCTCAAAATGGCAATTCAGGAAAACTCATTTAGAAGCATGAAGCTCATTGAATCTTTGGGTGGCTGACTAGATACTGCATGAACTGTGTGGTGATTATGTTTATTAAAAACAATTCTAAAGAATAAGTTGAATTTAAAATTAAAGCTTCCAAATTAAAAGACTACCCGGTCTGAAATAAAATTCAACTCAAGAACAAAATCTATCATTTGTTAGTACACTTTTCAACAAATTATATAGCCTTCCAGTTGCTCTATGTAGTTGATTGGATGAAAATGTTTGATTCATCCTTACAAATTAAACACTTCAAAGAAGTGTTATGGTAAATTGATAAATATTTTCATTGGCCGATTATAAATTTAGTTGAAAGATTACATACCCCCCAATGTCATAATAGACGTTACCAGCATTAAGTTAGATATAAGGTTCTAGAGTTACTAAAATGTCATAAGAAAAAAAATAATGGCTGCATCCCCCTTGTGTCAAACTGACTTTCTCAAATACAAAAATCAAGCCTTCAAACAGAAATTCTAGAAACAAAACAATAAAGAAAAAATATTGTATCTTTTGCCAGGTTTATCTCCAGATCTTAGTATGGGATTAGTTGCAGTGCTATTGATCATGCAGAAACAAAGACGCTTACTGAGATTTATGGCAATGCTTCGTGGAGTTCTCACTTCTTTCAAAGGGGGTGCAGGGGAAAATGGAATGCCCAAGGTACAGAAGAAACTGGGAATTTGGTCCACAGCATGAGGGACTGTCAGAACAACAAAACTCAAATTAACAGTACTTCAGCCTAGCCAATATTTTGAAAAGCTCATAAAATTATTTAATAATGTGAAACTCACTGTGATTGAAGAGACAGAAAATCAAGTCAATTAGACAATTATCATCTTTTTATTAAAGAATCAACTGCTCACACATTCAAAAAATCATCTTGCTAATGTCTATATTTTGAGAGTGTGATAATACTCTATTATCAGGATGATGAAAAACCACTAGATAAAACCCCCCAAATTTTGTGTTTCAATTTTAGTCTGAATCATCATAATTTTATTCTTTGGGGTATTTTACATAAAATTGGGTAATCATAGGGGCACATTTAAGAAATCCTTATTTTCATCATTCCTCTTTTTTAAAATAAAATTAACAGATGAATGTTAAGCTTATATGTAGACTTAAAATATGTATGCCATTACCACTTTTTTCCCGTAATATAGAATTGTAGAGATACATGTACCATTAAATGGATACATTTAACATTAACATTAAAGTTAAGCAGTTAGAGATACAAAAACAACGTTCTTCCATGTGGATAGTGCTTTCACATAGTAGATACTCATTTATATTTGTGATAGTGAGAAGGGAAGGAAAGAGAGAGGACATGAAGAGAGGCTGGAAGAAAGGACACAAATCAAGGGCCAACGACTTCCAGTGATAAGCTTTCAGAAAATTACATTTCCTTCTCTCCCTTCCATTAAGGCATGTGAGTGGTAGAATTTCTCTAGATTAACACCAGAGGTCATACTCATCCACAAAATGCATTTCAAATCTAATCAACTAAATCCCTTCATTTCTAGCATCATTTTTTTGTGAAAATTACCCATTCTTTCTTATGGCCTACAATTTCTATCCCATATTTTTTATATGCTTGTGAACATGCACACACACATACCCCCCCCAAGCCCCCCTTAAACACACGCTTTCTTAGAAGAATGGTTTTTTCAGACCACAGAGGCATGAGAAAATGTTTTGGGTTGTTTACACTCCAATTTCTTATTTTATTCAGATTTATATTATGCCATTGTTTACAATCCTTTTCCGTATAGGAACTATCTGTCCAAGTGAACTCTGTTGTATCTCAAAAAGCAGGGCTCCCTTGAATTTGGGTGTTCTTGGTCTATTTTTAAAAGGCAGTCAGGGCAGGGGTTCGTGTTTCCCACACCGATTAGTCTGAAGGAAAACTCTGACCTACAAAGTAAACGTGTTTCTGAGGTTTACTTTTTTTCTTTGCCAGGGTGAGTGAATTACCTGATGGTGCCAAACACAGAGGTTGTGATGAGACACAACCTTTCCTAAACTTATTTTCCTTACTGGTAAACACTAATGGAGAATCAAGATAGTAGCAATTGTTTTCTTAACACAACAATGCCGTGTTTCTCCTGAAACATAACAATTAAAAAGCCCTAAAAGCATAACTTTTAATCACATATTGTCCTTACTTTATAAAAGATATGCTACATTTGAAGAAAACATTAACATAATGATTATTATGCATATTCGTTATATTTACGCATTATGATTGTAAAGTATTAAGACATGATTGGGCTCATTGATGATAGTCTTATTAATTTTCAGCAATACCCCTGTTTTTCAGGAACTAATTATTATGTTGAGGCCTATCTGATAACTACACTAATTATTCAGTTTTTTTCCTACTCTCATCCTTGTCTCCTACCATTTCTCAATTAGCATATCTATGTGTAGTGGATTGAATTATGTCCCCCAAAACTCACTGAAGCTTGAATTATGTCCTCCAAGTATTATGTATTAGAAGCTTAGCTCCCACTGTGACTGTTAAGAGGGTGGGAAATCCTATTATGGTAATTGAAAGGTGGAGCCCTGAAGAGGTGGTGGGATTATAGGACCATGCAGTAGTGAATGAATTAAAAATGGTTGTCAGGGGCGTGGTTCTGAGGACTTTAAAAAAAGAGGAGAGTCTGTCTTGCTCTCTCTGCTTCCATGATCTTGCAATGTGAGACCCCTGGGTCACTGTTGCCGCCAGATGGACTTTGGACTTCTCAGCCTCAGAAGCTGTAAGCAATTAATGTCATTTTTCTTTATAATTACCCAGTTCCATGTATTTTGTTATAAGCAACACAAAATGGACTAATAAACTATGAAAGTGCCAATAATGCCAGCCAAAAAAAAAAGGTAAAACTCATACTCTAATTTTGCTAGTAGAATTGAACTTGTGTGTATTAGTCCGTTTCTGTTGCCTATAACTAAATACACAGAACTGGGTAATTTCTAAAGAAACAATATTTATTGCTTACAATTTCAGAGGCCCCAGCCAAAGTCCAGGGAATGCATCTGGTGAGGGACTTCTTTGGTGGTGGCTTTACAGTAATGCAGGGGTCTCCCATGGCAGAAAGAGTGAGAGAGACTCTCTCTCACGTGCTCTCCTTTTAAAGCCATCAGAACCACACCCCTGGCCACCACTATCAATCCATTTACTAGGCATGGTTCTACAATCTAACACCTCTTCAAGGTCCCATCTTTCATTTACCACAATTGAATTTCCCACTGTCAACAGTTATAATGGGGATTAAACTTTTAATGTCTTTGGGGGGCCATTCAATCCACTGCATTGTGTTATTTAATTAAATGGGTAAACAGGTTGAAATTATTGAGTATGATAAGTCTTTTTAAAATAGTCTTTGGATTTTATGAACAAATATCTCTTGGCAGCTAGAAACACACACCAAAATCTAAAAAGTCGTAAAGCTTAGTGGACAGCACATTCTAGTTTATAAAGCAGTTTCTCATGTGTCATTTTATTTGTATCTTGCAACAACCCTTATGGAAGGCAGGAAATGTTTTATCATCATTTCCATTTCACAGGTAAAGATAACACCTGAGATGCAGTGCCTGCCCTATCCAAGGTGACATAGCGAGTGAGTAGCAAAAAGCACCCAGACATCAAACAGTCTTCTGAGTCTGTCTCGTGTGCCTGTTTTCAATTCTGCTAGCTTTTCTCCAAAGCAGAAGAATAACCTCTTGACCCCATCCACTCATATAGGAAGAGACAGTAGTGGCCTGTCATTGTCCAAAACTGCCTGTAAATGGCCTCATAAACATCTCCTCACTGGATTTTTTAGTTTCTGTGACCCTTAACTATTATCCTCTTGTTGACTTATTTGATCAATGGAATAATTTGTGAAGATATAATACAAGTGTGGATGAAACGGCAATGCTATATGCCTGCCTAATTAAAAAGTATTTAAAAAATATATAGATCCTGATCTATTCAGACATACTCTCCTACCTATTTTGCTGCCAGCCTGGGTATTCCTCATTGTTGGCAACATCCATAATAGAAGCTAAAGGCCAAAGAAGAGTACTTATTGGCACCGCCAAAGCTACTTTTTTTTTTTTTTTTTTGTCTTTTTATATAAGGGAGAAGGAACAGGCTCAGACTCTGCACCCTGCAGCTCAGAGGAACTTGTCTGCAGTCCTGCAGGTATCCAGCCTGGCTTGTCGACAGCTCTGAGCTCCGGCAGTTGTCCTCTTACTGCTTCTCCCTTTATGCCAAAGAGTGAGGGAACCAGAGAAAGGAAGCAAGCCTTCATG